CCATATAATTATTGGGCATCGAGTGGTTCCCATACATGGGAATTTTTTCCCTCGCACTTACGGTAGGAAATTTTAGACTCGTTCAAAAAATCTTTCCTGAACAATAACTTCATTATTTTCGTAAGTGGAGGCTGTCAACTAACGGTGCAACATAATACTGGTCACATAATGCTAGCTTAGCATCAATTTGTTAAGTTCAACAACCACAAAACCTGACTCAATCTGTTGGAAAATTATTTTTGACATGAGGTGCAATATGAGGTGTAATAGCTAAATAAATGCTTCCTTGATATAAACAGTTTTGCATTGTTGAAACGCCTTTCAATTATTTCTCTTGCGAGAAGATCACTACATAATTCGTTAACAGATAACACACTGGCAAATCCACTATTTCATTGAACGATCTAATAATCACTTTCATTTGTGACTATCACGAGTTAGTACTGACAGGGGAATTCAACTTGCTTTTTTGGAATTTCGATATCCGATTAACCTTCCTTAATTGCTCCATTCAACGAGAACATTGACGTATTATTGGTAACTCTACGAACGAAGAATTTATTTCAGCATGTTATTTATTAATATATCCAAGAAACCATAAAATGTTACAACAAATTGATATTAAAAGTCGTCAACACAAAATTGATATTAAGTTAAATAGGAAAAATTCCCAACTATACAGCCTAACACATGACACAGGTTATTCACAAGCACAAACTTGACGCGACTGTATTTGTATGCAGAGAACCCAGCAGCTCTCAACTGATGTGCATAATTATTGGTGCTTTAATAAGTAGAAGGCACCGAAGGTTTAGATGTGTTGCTGGTCTTGCGTTACTAATTAGCGCCGTGAGACGCGTCAACTGCTCTGCCTGCTGTCAGACGCCTACAGTTGCCCACACATCTTTGCTGCACAAACTTTGCTTTATTCTCGCCATGTTGCTGATGAGTTTCATATCAACATTTATTATAGCCAAAAGAAACTTGGCAAATAGATGCCTCAGTAAACATCAATGCTACGGCTATTTTCGTCAAATGTTGTCGGAATTTAGACTAGAATTTGGATATGAAGAATTCCTGGCTGACGTCATATAATTTATAATCTCTTAGTGAAATCAAACTCATAGACTTTATTAATTCATTTTAGCTTCGTACGTTAGAGTGAAGGAGAAAAAATGTTAACAATTTGTTTTGTTAAATTTTTAGGAGAATTTGTATTTGCTCAGTTAGATTGAAATAAGTTTGTGATAATTCAGTAATATGTAATTATACACGAGTTTCAATTATACCTTCGTATGTACAGCAATTTATATACCACGCACAATCTCTTGGTTTGATTTAAAAATTTAGTTTTCTCTTCACCATAAATTTGGCACAAATTGATGCTACATATTGAGTTGTGGTAATATCGTTAGTTTTCAGTGCATGTGACTCAAGCTGGACTGTAAAATACGACAGAGCCTCGGAATGTTTTCCTTGTTACTGAAAGGCCCAAGAAAAATGAGTTTCATTCGTTCGATTGAAGGGCTGTGGCGTAATTGATCGCCATGCAGCCGTTAGAGGCTAACGGTAATATTTAACTGCTGTGCAGTAATCTATTGACTGGAGTGCCAAAATAAGACATATGAATGCATGATACGATACTTTTATACCTCTTCTAATATAAGGAGAGAAAATAATCTTTAGGTTACACTAGATTTTGCAATTATTTTGTTGCTTTAATTGAATAGTAGGATTTTGCAACTTAAAATTAAATACAGCATTGCATCGCAACTAAATTGGCATCGTGGTGTCTTGAATAGAAGCAATGAAATGTTGAAATGTACATAAAATCCCATTGTACATGTGCACGTATTCATTTTATGCCATAACTGCTGAACAAAACTTCATGTAAAATAAGTGTAGTCAAAATGAAAAAAAAACATCTGATTTGAGTCTATGAACGAATTTAATCAAGAAGTATTTGTTTAATAAGCTGCATCAGTTTCTTAATAACGAAGTGTCTGCGTGTCAGAACTGTTTGTAGTGCTTGTAACTTTTGCCTCTTTGACAGAAACCGGATTTCACAACGAAATTTGAGACTGCAAAAAATAATATTTTTCAGGTGTATTACCACACGAGACAACACAACTTTAGATGTTCGAAGTTGAAGAAGGAAAAGTTTATTTGTAAATATTTCAACAGAGAACCGCTGCAAGTTAGGCTGGTCCTAGGAATCGTGGAAAAATCTTCGTTGTTGCAGGTTCTTGAGTTACACTTGTTTTGAGGCCTCGAGTGTTCTCTCGATGCTAGAAGTTTTATTATTTTTATGCCTGTGGGTGCGGCTCGACTTTCTCGAGGACATCAGTGGATGCTCGGGAGCTGTCTTGTTGACACGAAAATGAAGGCAAGATTTACTAGGAAAATATTGAACTCGGTCCATGAGGATAGTGAGGCAGGGGAAGATGAGAAGGTACTTGTTTTAGAGTCAAGAAGGGAGGGAGGTGCGTGTGAAAATCCCTAAACATGACTAACTCTTTAAGAGTCATGGGAATGAGAGTAATTTGTTCGGCAAAAAGGTATGTAGTTACGTAGTCGATTAGTTTTCATTCGAAGCTATTTTCAACTTTTTTAGATTTAATATTACAGAACGAAACGTTGTTAGCTCAGGAGCTAGAACATTACACAGCCGTAATAGCTTTGGATGCCTCGCAGGTTGATCATTCAATATAATATTATTTTTAGGCATCATTTTGAAGCAGTGAACACATGCTCTTCACAAGCCAATGATGATAATGATTTGCTAGCATCATTGTTTTTAAAAAATATAGCTTGAAACATCACTATAATATGCAACTTCCGGTGCATTATGATCTCAAAATGTGACACAAAATCATGACAAGAAACAAGTCTTCAAAAGAAGGCCATGTATTGGCGGGTGCAGCCATGCGGACGTAGAAGTCAATTGTAACTCTACAATGAAAGTTGAACGTGCTTTCATCAAAGTTGGCTCGGTGGCCTCCAACTCATTATGTGGCATGAAGGGCTTCATGTCAAGACGAGGGAAGATGTCAAAGTGACATCAACATTACTGATAAGAATGGATACAGAGATTCAGTGTCAGTCATAAAAACAGCATTAAAAATTTGCAATCTCTATCTTTCCTCTAGAGATAATTCGTCGAGCATTTTTTCTTAAAATCACACGCAGACAAAATTAAAAAGTGATTTAAATACAAATAAAACACAGGCATAATATTTTTGTAGCAAATTTCAGACGAATACCCTTCAAAGTGTTCGAGTAAATATAATTGCAGAGTTTAAGTAAAGGGATGACATTTTAAATGCGCACCCTTTACGATGATGGCAATTGAATTTTTTTTAGAATCCCATCAAAACCCAGCGTGGTAAAAAAGTAATTAAAATGCCCAGTTGATAATCCGTAGAGTTTTGATTTATTATTTTTCCTTTCACGAGCTTCTCTTTCTAGCCAACCCGCGATGATTCCGGAATAATTGATGACCAATCATTTTTGAGTATCATGAGAGGACTTATAGAGGAGGAACGCCTACTTATTCATGCAGCATTAAAACGAAAGAACGAGATTGGCAAATATTAAGCACTCAGAATTATCTTATGCCTGACCTGTCGAAAAATTTCAACTGACGTAAGCGTCAAAAATAAAGTTGATAGTGATGAACTGCCCTGCTCCTAATTATGCTCAGCGTTCGCTCATCATTCCCTGATAATGAAAACATCTTATTTACTTTGTGACTTCAAATTATTTCAAACATTACTTAGTGAGCTGTTTTATATGTTAATTGGGAAGAATTTTACTTTTTATAATGCATCGTTTACTTACAAAAACGGTAGAATGTCTGTGATACTGCTAAGTGGTCATTAACAACAGTAAAGTCGTTGTTCCAGAATTACACTCTATTGACATCCTGTTTCGGCGCCATTACTGTATTTTGACCTCTTTTCCTGAGAATCATTGTGTCAGAGCGTCGAACTTTCTGGCCGATGTCCACCCTTAGTAAGAAATAAAGTCTGCAGTTACATCTTCTCGAGGAATTCTCGCGGCCTGAACTCGATCTTTCTGAGGCAATCTCTATAATTGCTGCGGCGGGAAGTTAGCCCATGATGTTCAATCATGGATCAATTGCCGGAGGCTTTGGCTTTTCTGGAGGCTTTTCTGCTACCAAAGGAAAAATAAAATCAAAATTTTTATGACGTGTTCAATTACTTTGTTTGTAGGGTTCTAAATATTGTGGTGCTTTGCTTTAGATTTTGTTAATATTTTGCATTGAAAGTTTATTTCGTTTCAACCGAAATTTTTCAGTCAACCGCCAATTTTCAATGTTTTGATCTGTTCATATTCTGAGTAGTGCCAGTTCATCCCATTCAAATGAGTGTAAAAAATCCAGCAACTGTTTTTTAAGGGATAGTAAGACATCTATAATACAAAAAATATTTATTTATAGAATCCTCAGGGTGGATGGTCTCGAACGGATCGAGAACATAGATGCATTTAATAATAAATGTCCGAAAGAATGAACAATCTTCTATGATCAATATGACGTCTCTTAGAGGGACTAAATATCACATAATAATATTCAAATCAGAATTACGTTAGATCGTTTTTTCAATCTTGATAATACCTATCATTATTAATAAGGGAAGTATAGGTTAACACAAAGTTAATAAAATATTAATAATTCTAATTAACTCGTGAATTTTTTTTCAGATATACTTTCTTTGATATTTGAACAGCGCCGGGAAACTTGTTTTCGCCTTGTTTTGTTCAGTTGCACAATTGTAATTGTAGATAACATTTAGACAAACTCGAACTGTTGTTTACATTTCCTTTGTGATCACACTTTGAAGTCAAAGTGATAGCGACGGAACTTGTAACAAAGAAAAAATATACCTAGAAATTAAAATTAACAAATTGACAACAAACATAGATTCCATAATAAAATTCAAAATTTGGGCAAACTTTATTACAAAACAATAATATTAAAATCCAATTAGTATCCCGTTCCTTAATTAAATATTTCAGTAAATAGCTACAGCTTCATCAATATTGCGTCAGAAAACAGACACATGCTAGAACACTTATAACGAGAAGGTCACATTAAAAAATTCTGCACCAGGACAGTTCCATAAATGATCTCCATCAGTTTCAATGGAGCATTTGATATCTTCGTCTAAAATTCTTCAAGTAATAATACGAAAAAGGAACTCTAGACAACGCTTTCCCTCTGCGGAGACGTTACAGGTGAGTTCGGAAATCGCGTGGATGGCGGAGTGTTCTCACTGTTCTTCTTTTTAATGTTTCCCACTAAAACAGGAGTCATTTCTTCTGAAATTGGAATTTTTCGATTCCTTGTTAGAGTACCACGCAATCTTGCGTCTATTAACAAATCTCCTTCGCCAGCACCGTAATGTAGTGCTTGCTCAAACGTTGCAGCTTGTTTACCTTTAATAACTTCAGGCACAAGGCTCAAGTTTGACAGGCTGGAATTACACTCGTTTTTCGTATTGTACGTTCTATCGTGTCTTCTAAAAAATGGAGTATTCTCTATTTCGCTGGTAGAGGGCATTTTATTGTAAGCTTGACCCATTTGCTGACACATATCATAATAAGGTGCTTCAGAGCAGAGAAGCTCGGGGTTTAAAGGAGGGCTGAATTGACGTCCACTGAGGCCTGGAACCCCTGTTCCATGACTCGGCTGGCCAGGGTACAGGTTTGGCCTGTTGTGGCCCGGCATTGATGTTTGGTCTGGATTGTCCGCTTGCGTGCCGCTCGCAAACATGGCGAGGTCAGATCGCCCTCCGGCACCCGCCTGAGGTTGGGCAGATCTCTGTACATGAAAAGTTTCGTCTAATCTAGCATAAAGGTTGCATTTACTTCGATCCCAATAGATTTGATAACAATAGAGGCATATATATCTTCAAACGAATTTCATAATAATGCTGCTAATACAGCCAATCAAAACCAAATTTTTCTCTTAAATTATTTTTTATTGAGGAAATTACGAAGTTGCAACGCCGGTCTTTAAAGGGGAACGTGACAGTTGTGAGTGACAGGGCAAATTCAGTAGAAAAATACTCGATAAACAGGATTAGTAGAGAGTGTCTCAACTGTCGCTCATCATTAGGAACATAAATGATGATATAGTTCATTTCATTTTAAACCCGTCGCTCAGAGATATCAAATAAGGGGCGATGCACTTTAGGGTAACAAAAGCTTCATTCAAGTAATGATTTGAAGAGCAAAATCTGGTCGCGTGCGAGCAGATCGTGAAATGAAATTCCAGAGGCAAAACGCAGCTCGGCAACGCTAGGTTGGAACAAATGACGGTTATAAAAGACAATTTGAGGCCTTCTCGTAATACCGCTTTTACTGTTGGAAATCCTTCATAGATCACAGGGCCTGAAGAAAGGCTAACGACATTGCGAATGAAGCAAGAGAATCTTCTTATCTTTTTCTGAATTGACCGTTACTGTTGCATGAAGGGCCATGTTTTGTTCAAGTTTGAGATAACTACTGCACCGGAATGCATTTCTTAATGTTTATTACCTCGCAGCTATCATTTTAAAATGTAATTTTGATATTTATTCACTTTGTAATACAAGTTAATTGATGCCATTATTCACCAATAAACCAGAAAATTCTCGAATTCTGCCCACAATAGATAAACCATTGTAAACGATAAGGAGCAGAGTCACTTGACTAAATAAAATACTTTTATGAAAAAATTTGAATACTATCATTAAATAATGATTTTTTTTATGAATTCGTGTTTACCTGGTCTGGTACGACAGGTTGAGACTGCTGAGTGTTGTCTGTCACCAGCTCACTTGTCAGCGTAAGTTGGTGGTCTTCTTTGCAGCCTTTCGATTCTAAGGACAGATAATAAATAACTCACAGATTTTCGACCTGATAAACAACACTGGTGGAATTGGAATTTCCCATTCATTCAAACTTCATGCGCGGAAAATTTAAAAAGAGTGAAAAAGTATGTGAAGGAATAGGAAAAAAGATGACAGCTACCATTGCATTTACTAATAAATTTCATGGCATTTGATTGAATAGAAATGATTCCTCGAATATTTAGCACAAGCAAAATTCACTGACTATTCAATTTTAAAGTCAATACTCACGTGCAGTCGTGAGGATGACATCAGGTTCGCTGTCCGACTTGAAGCACGCGTCATCGTCATCGTTTCGCTCACTAACTTCCATCTGCGTTGCCTGCAATTTCCTCATGTTCGTGGCAGCCCGAGCCTTGAAGAGCACCACCGACATGACGCAGCACAGTAATAACACTGACCCCACTCCAACCAATACCCCGATGGCAGTTGACACGCCGACTCCGGTTTCCGTCAAAGTTTTACTCAGTCTTTTCTCAGCGATGTCGATAGGTGTGAGGTGGCGTAGAGTGACGGGCTTGGTCTCACCTTGACTGTTGCTTGCGATCACGTGTAATGTGTACTCTTTACCGGGCTTCAGTCCTGTTACGGTGAAGCGGGGGCTTTCTTGATTCTTTTTTGATGCTACTAGTGAATGTTCATCGCCTTCGTTCACCTGTAGAAGTAGATAAATCGGCTGAAGACATACCAAAAAACTCATATGAATAACAAATTTACTCAAACAGGTGGCATAGATTACTCTATGCTTCATAATCTCTTTGAAGCTGTCAATCGTTACTCAATTTATTACAGTGTCAATGATGGAGCAATTCGTTTCCGTTCTTTCAAAGGAACAGAAAATGCGGCATCCAAATTCCCTGCTCATGGTGGTTTCAACGTGTAATTTCGTCCCATCTCTCATGTAATTTCGTCCCCAAGGGAAGCTGAGCGTCGTGAGCAGCGGCACGCAATATATAAGAATTCCGGTCTTTTCCTTGCGCTGTTACTCAATTTCAAGAACGCATCCTTGATATGGCTTTGATTTGATCGCAGTTACAATTTCCGACATGACCATAGGAAAAGATCCAAATTTACTGCTCCTTTATCCTAGGAGCAAAGCCTAATATCGCTTTTATGGCGCTTTGAGAAGTCTTTCCTCGTCACAGGATCTGTGAGAGTGTCTTCTCAAACTTTATGACTGCTCTGAATCTTGATCGGAAGAAGATTTTTAGAATAACCTTGTACGCTATGTATTGAAAACTTTACCGATTGTTTTAACTTTACTCAACTTTGATAAAAGTTTTTAATGAAACGAATGGTACAGAATGAATAATATTTTATCAATGTCAAATGCTTTGACGAATCCTGAAAGTAGATAAATTTCAAGCCTAATTTAAATGATACTACGAGCCTTTAATCGACAGTCTAGGTCATCAACATTCGGGCTGCGGAAATAAATGCAATCGTAGAATTAATATGGAATTAGATATTTAACTTGGCATGTGTAACTTTAAAGGAAAAGGTATTTTTATGCAAACTTCACTACAAGATACAAAAGAAATTGAATATAAATAATTTGGTATCCAATAACAATTCTCACTAGAGAATATATGAATGATTTACTAATGATCTTAGATATACAATTATGCTGTATAGAAAATGCAATAAACAGAAAAGTATCAGGAAAAATATAGATAAAAATAAAGAGTATAAGTAACAATAAAATAGAAAATAAAAAATCTGAGTAATATGCCTATCAACTGGGATTTTTCTTAATTAAAATGAAAAATCGTGACTCCTCTGTCTAGAATACATCAATGCTGCCTGCATAGTATACAGTCAGTATACATGCAGTATTATTCAATGAAGCTTATCCTTTACATGGAGGCTGAAGGTCTGCTCCAGCCCTCCGTTCCAGCCCGGCCAGCAGAGTATGACGACCTGACCCGCTGCGCTGTTGTTGTGCCATGCAGAACAATTGTGCACAGGCTCCGGCACTGCCGCTGGCACAACCTGTCATTCATTGCAGGCACATTTCGGTCATTAGCTGATTGGTTCTAGTGTCAGAATATAGATTTTGATTGTTATTGTGTGCGATCTTGAATAAACAGAATTAGTTATGAGTGCGTTTCACTCATCACTCTGAGTAAAAATGGTGGGACCTTTCAGTCATTTTCCAGCTAACATCAGATGTGTTTTTACGTGTGCTTAATTTGCCTTTTATTTGAATAAAGGTAACTTATTCGCCGAGATTTTGGCACCTCGTTTCTGTATTGAATTTATCTGTTCCTGATTATCTGATCAAATCGGAGCTTGAGAAATATTCTATTTGACAATAAATCACGAAAAGGCAGCGAGTGAATTGCTTCTGCATGATCCACAAGATTCATTGCTACATGACCGAATCTTCAATACACAATTGCATTAGTCTTCCAAATTAACTCCTCAAGACTTATTACAACTTGACACGAGCCTTTCAAATGCTAGGAAAAATTTTCGGCCGCAATGTTTTGTCAGGTCAGGCCTGAAAACCAGTTTGACAGACTAAGCAGAAATAGGAATATTTTTTCCAACACTAGAAGGTTTTATGCGATTAGATGACAAAGGAAATGTAACAAGGCAATGTGTATATTATTATATATCAAATCAATTCATATCATTCAGAAAATATAGGTGAACGTACCATATTTCAAAATTGGATGGAGTGATAAATGGTAGCCCAAATCCTCTACATTAATTAAATTTAAATTTTATGGTCAGCAGCTTTCATAGCTTGGATTGACAATATACAGGCGGTGGTCGAATTTGAAATAAAAATTAAAAAATATCTTTAAACTAGTCTGTTAATGTTATTTTGAAAATGAATGATCATGAATTTTTCTTTTACTTTCGATTTCTTTTTGCTGCCTTTTTTCTATAATCATATATGAGCTCACGTCATTGAGTTTCCTGGGCTACAAAATTTACTTCTGCCAATTGAAATTCTGTACTGGTTCATATCATCACATATATTTTCCAGCAACCACGGCGCGAGTGGAACGGTAGTGGGTTCGACGCGTAATTACTGCACGGTTAATAAAATAAAAAATGATTATCAATTTACCTGGAATACGCAAGGATCTTTCTGCCTGCCGACCGAGTTCTCGGCCCAGCACAACAAAGAGCCGTAATCCAGCGGCGTGTGCGGCGTGTAGGCAAGAACAGAACTGAGTTCTCTGTTGAAAACTTTGCTACGCGGCACGTCTAGCAGGTCAGTGGACGATGAGTTCAAGGACCATGAGAACGAGTGAGGTAAAGGAGAGGCTTCCACGTCGCAGGTTATGTTGACGAGGTCACGTCTGCCGCTGCCGTACACCCATTGCTGGCCGTGTGCGCACACCGGGGCGTCTGACGGCGATATGGAGGCCGTATTAAGACTTCTGATTTGATAATATCCAACTATAAGGTTAACTGCATTAGTCTGTAAGTTCATTTATTTGGATTTAATCTTCTGTTGTGGAAATTTATTCATTTTGACTTAATATTTTGTTAATATATTGTATCTGTTTTCAGAGCGGAAGCAATGACATCTGCATCGGGAACAATGCATAGGCTGGGCTTTCTATACGTGATCGTGATTAATAGTTCCAATATGAATTCAAGTAGCTTTATAATATATACATTGAAATGAAGCAATGTCATTTTGTCTAATGGTTTTAGAGGTTGAAAAGTTTAATAAGTATGTGTTCTACCACGTCTGAATGTACATTGTAGTTTGTTACTGCATTAACATTACATTGTAATTACATTGTAATGTAATGTAAATGTTCCTACTGCACTGAGAGGTTAAAGTTAGAAATACGACATAAAATTAGTGCTTAGAATGCAATATTCGAAGAGCAGGAGTGACATTGCCTCATATAGACTACGATCGATCATGAGAAAAGTGGTTTGCATTGGACGCGAGTGCGTGTCAGTCTCTCTGGACGTACAGGCTGCATTTATTGTCACATGCGATCGTTGATCCAACTCCAAATTGTTTCTTAGCAAGTGCCATGATTGATCATAAGATTGATGCGACCACCATGCAGCTGCAATATGTAGTTGTGTATGAGATTCGTGGATACCGGTGCAAATGAGCATCACGAAAGCCAGTGTGGAAGACATGGTATTTCTGCTACTCTTAATGCAAATCATTTTATGGGGTATAGGCTGGGTTTATCATAATTTGCAGCACGTATATTAGATAGGAGATAAATTTTCAGGACTATAAATTTTATTTTCTTTTTTTTTGCGATTAACGCTATTTATGAAAAATAACAACATAGCGAAAACTTTTATTTTTAATAATAATGCGGAATATTTGACGGAAAGGATAATAATGCCCTCAAGGTCATTAATTACATTGATTTTCAAAAGTATAGGGTTTCCCAGAAAAGACTCCAAGTCGATTTTGATTCATTTGTCAGTGACATATGAAGATTTCAATAGCAATTTGATTTGCTTGAATTGCACTGATAGACAGCGTCAATACTATTCACACTTGCCGACTCCAAGAGAATATTTAATTTCACGAAGCGGCAAATTATGCTGCTTGGGCCTGCTTTAAATTATTTTGTTTCAATTGAATTTAGTTAGTCGGCAAACGCACGTCTCCAACTTGTACGCTGACGAATTACTTTGCACTCCCTGAGCCAAACTGCGTCCCGAACTGCGGGGAGACTGAATCAAACTCGTAGCTTAGCTTCTTTATATTCAGACTCGCTGCAACTTGCCTGGTCAAAGTTAAGCAATTAATTCTGGGTCAAACGAGCTTTGCACAATTTTTGCGCTGGCAACTTTTTCGTCCTAAGTTCAATTTGAACTATTTTCCGGAGGCTGATAAATCATTTAGGAAGTTTATTTTCTGCAAAACCTTTTAATTAATGATTAACTCATTTTAACTGCATGCTGTACAAGCAGGTACTGAGAAGAAAATAACGTAAGCGATTTTTTTTCTACTGGAAAACCTTTATACCTCGAAAGACTTCTTCTTACACAAAAATACCTGACCTTGGAAGAAATTTTAAGGTAAAATTTTTTGCTCTCCGGAGTCTTGAATAAACGTTTCTGATGAAGCTATGAAAATTATTTTGTGCGATAAATAGTTGTTACCAAGAGAAAGTAAATTGAAACTTTAAATTAAATAAAAATATTCCTCAAAAAGGAAAAGATTGGATTCAGCCGTGACTACAATTTACATGCATGACGTAACACTTTAAATGTAGATTAAAAATCCATGACACTGTTTGAAAAATTTGTAATTCAAAAAATGTACAAGCTACTTGATTCCTCTGAACGCATTGCTCTCAAACCAGATTAAGTTTTTGTTTAGTTCAATAGTGTATTCAGAAATAAATTAAATGCACCTGAATAGATTTTGAGCATGAATAAAACTCACAGTGGACGTTGAGCGTGATGGCATTGGAAGTGGCAGAGCCCTGTACGTTGCTGGCTCCGCAAGTGTACTGACCGCTGGCAGTCTTTAACACGCGCTGCAGTACAAGACTTCGCGTGCTCAGGATGATGCCTTCACTTCTGTTCGTTTTCACTTCACTTCCCTGAATTTGTGATGAAAAGGTACGAGCCATTTTAGTACAATAGTATTTGTTAGGCTTCAGTACCAAATAGATGGGAGAAAGGAGGTAAATATCGACTAGATCACGTGATCTCATTTCATGCGCTGAGATAGTATTTTCAGTACAACTCTAAATGTGAGGCTTCTGTGTCAAATGGACGGGAGAAAAAATCTGTAGCTTCAACGACGCCATTAGTTGTAATGCGAAGAGATAGTACGAACTTTTTAGTATATTATTCAATGTAAGGCTACAGTACTAAATGTAAAAAAGGACAGATTCTACCATTTGATCTAATATTCAGAACCGGTATAAATGGTTTCAAGTCAAAATGAAATGATAACATCAATTCGAATGACATATCCCAAATTATATTCTGGTATTGTTAAATGAATAATATTATTGTTATTTTTTTAATTTGCTTAATTTATTATTTACTTTATTATTAATAATCATAAATCCCAATTATTGATGGATTAAAGCAATATTGATTAGATAGCTTTTCTTTGAAGGAGCTTGTGAGTAGAAATGCTTAAAAGCCGACTGATAAGGCCGAAAGTTGAACAAAAAAATATTTTAAAGGAATTTAGAAAATGAAACGCGGGGGCCTCTAAACTGACGGTAACAAAATAATAAATAGAATGCTGCTCAGTTTAAATAAATCCGATTATTCATAATCAGGGACATTCAGGTTGTGTAGCGAGTAATAAATGCTTTATCTTGCTAGAGCTTTTAAGTATTAACAAATGAAGTGAGATCACTCCCTCGCACGTTTAAATCCACAGGCCAGAAATTGCGACAATAAATGTTCAGAGCAGTCGAGATGAAAGATTTAAATAACATACAGCAGAAATGTCCAGGAGAAAATTTTATGAAGTTTTTTTTTGCTGACGCAATCCGTTAACATAATTACGAACACACGTGCTCTGGTAAAAAGCAATTGATTGTCGAGACATGAAGATCACAAACAATGAGCCATCGCTGTTGAATCAGATCTAATCGAAACGAGTAAGAAAGAATGCAAGCGACTTATTGTAAGATTCACAGAGCATTCTGTTGTGCAATTCATTCATTTCGAACTTCAGTTAGTTCGTTTTAGAAATTCGTGTAATCCAGTTAATTTCTTTATTATAAAAAATAATTAAATAATTTACTTTGTTATATCAGACGAATGATCCACTTAAAACAAACGTACGTAAACGTTAACGTTAAATAATCCTACGTTCTACTCTTAATCTACTTGATATACGAGTAGATAAACTCACATTGTGGAACCACACGATTGAATCTACTTTAGGGTTGGCAAAGTCTTGACACACGAAGTAGATGTCGTCTCTTTCCTTGATGTCGTCAATGTTGAGGTTCCGCCCGAGACTGAGGTGCAACTCAGGCGGATCTGAGATATGCAGAGAAAAAATGTCTGAAGAAACTTGGGGGCCACCCGGTGCACTAAAAGTTAACCTTTTAGTCCAGTCACTTCTTAGGTCAACTCGAAACATGAATAAAACGGTCTACTACTTCGAGCTGCTGAATCAGCTACTGCATAAAATTGATAATGTCTGCCGTTAAAAAATATAACAGGTGCAATAGTACGTTAAAGCGTTACAAATTTATTTAAACAAACGGCAGAAGACTATTTTTAGATTTCTGAGGCATGCAGAACAAAGTTTGCTCGGCAATCAATTTTCGACTTCAATTGATTTGAGCTTCTGACAATAAATATCGCATTTACCTAAACCCAATATTTCACCAATCTTACTTCCCCTCGCATCGGCATCACTCAGTTCATGTTCGACGTATCATCAGTCATTGATGATTTTTCATTAGCGCCGAACTTCAACCCGATAAGAAAATTAGTCAGCACTTGTGGCGGGATCAATACTCAGGACAATGGTTCATTCCCTTCTGCCTTAACTTGAAGAATGCTCACATTGAACGTCGAGTATTCTTCGGTCCTCTTTGAAGAGGTGAGGAAGAACGGGATTCGTTCCCCTGCACACCAATACTTTGCCGTTCACTTCCCTCGCGGCGGACAATTGCAGGGTCGATTGAGTCTGTCCGTGGAGAACGACCTCCTGCACGAACAACGTGTCCAAACCAGCGCTTGATTGATGGACGCTCAAACTCCCGCGTCCAATAGATAACTTAAGATCGATCACGTCAACGAAGATTCAGTCTTGACAATATACAGGCGCTGGTCGTTAATTAATTTCCGCCCATAGTTATAACAAGAATGCCACAATATCATTCTTGAGATAGTTGAACAAATAATAAATAAATAAGAAATTTAAAAATCAGCTCCATGGTTAACAGCCAAATTGAATACATAATCCGAATACATTTATATGTATAAAAAAATTCTGTGAAATTTCACCACAAATGAGACTTGATTATTTCATATGAATATTGCATGCCAGCTAACACGGCACTCACGACTGAGCTGTTGAGCTTAACGCCGTCTAGCGACCACACCAGCGAGGCGGCAGGCCGGGAGCCTGTGCTCTGACACGTCAGCGTGTACTGCTGACCTGCAGCTAGCGGACCTTCCCGGCCCACGATGTCCACGCTCGCAGGGGGAACTAAAACAAACAGAATCATGCGCTTCATGACGTTATCTTTCAATTTGAAACAGTTTACTCGATATAATTTAATAAGTCTTCACAGTAATAATGTTAAGTTTCTCACTCTCTTGCAAATAATATCGTTCACCGAACTTGTTTCCTTGTACTTTCAGCATATAACTTTATTTACTTATATATACAAACTTTTTCCGGCTCACGATGTCTAAACGCGTTGGCGTGACTAAACCAAGAAATAGTTTATGCGAAAATAATGTTTTTAAGATTAATACTTTATCTATTTCCCTGCTATTACCGAAATAATAATTCTAAATTTTTATGCAGAAATTAAAGACGTAGTCCTTTTCAGCGCATTTTCTCATTTATGGAAAAAATGCACTATTGTGCTCGCCATGTCCGTCTGTCTGTCTTTATATTATATTATATTATATTATATTATATTATTCGAACTTTCAAAGATAAGCAATGGCTGGAACGTCATTTGATTTATTCTATGTTCAATCCAAACTTCGCTAAAATACCATGGCAGCGGACCTAAATAAATGATAATTCAAGACAAAAAGTTCACTAATGGTTGGGCGGACATTTTAATTTTCATAATTTAATTAATTTAGTCTAAAGCTCTGAAATGAAAGAAAGATATTTTTTTGCAAGTTATCATTACGATAAAGGATTAGTGCTAGAATTAAAGTTTAACATACAATGACAGTTATGAGTGGTACAAACGCACGATCAATATTTTTCAGTTATCATTTGATAATGAAGTGTTTTTTTATCTATCCTTTATTTTAAAATTTTTGCAAAATTTAATTCTAAAACCATTTGTAATGTTCAAAATAGGTATAATTTATTCCGGGTATTTTGCCATTTCTCTAGATATTTCTCAGAAAATTTGTGTTGATTAGTTCATGCAGTTGGTTACTAGTTCAAGAGCATTCTCTGGTATGTAACACTACAATCGCGCTAATTATATTTTGGTTAATCCACACTTTAAAATCTAAATTCTATTTTAGCGAATGTAGAAATCTAAATCACAATTTGCTGTCTGAAATAAAATTTTTACATCGAGAAAAATAACAGTAAAAGATAGCAAATATCACCACTAATTGGGCTTCACGAAGTACGCACGAAAGCAGGTAAAAGTATGTTCCAGGTCAATATTCACTCGCATGCCTTAGACCTTCATAGCCATTACAAGTATTATACCACTAATAGACGCATAGATTTTCTAAGTGATTGTACCACTGACTGCTGCATTGATTTTATCAGTGATATATTATACCACTAACTGCCATTGATACTTTTTAGGCTGAAGTGTGAAATTTTCACTCCTTATTTTCAGTCTGTGGTCTGTTCTGAAGGAAGAAGCCCCTATCAGTCCAGTTGAATCGCTTAGCGAATCCAACAGTCATCTTAACATTTAAGTCAATGAGTGCTCTTAGGTAAAATCATTTTTACTGCTCCTGCGTATTGAGCCTCCTAAAAAATTATGTAAATATAATTTGGTAAGATATTTTTATAGTATTTATCATCTGGATACGATTATTTGTTATATTGCGGAAGAGAGAAAAACGATAACTTATTAGAGCACATGCAACACAGAGCAGTCCCAATGTCGATTCAGAGCAGAGGTCACTAGATTGGTCGATATATAGACCTCGCTGCAGGACCGATGAGAGTATCAATTGAATGAAGAACTGTACACTGAAACTTCTTCACAGATGAATATTGAATTAGGTTTTCTGGTTTAGTACTTGCATTAAGCGAATATGATTAAAAACTTTTTAGTCAACGGTTCATAAATTTGTACGAGTGTCAAAATCGTCACTGGATTCTTAAAGTAATGCAGGTTCTGAAGCGTGCTGGCGCGTAGAGATTTCATGGTTCAGGAAGGAATTGAAACGAGATTCAAGATTGGCGGTAGACTTCAGCTTCATGATGGGCATACAAGTTTACGTTACGAAGTAGAATGCAGCCTAAACTTAAAAACGCCGGATTATTGAAGCCAGCTGTTTAGGTACGAACGTTTCGCACATTTCTACAATATTCTATCATTGTTATTTGTTGGAGATAATCACGTGATATTTACTCCATTGATTTGATTAGTGAACGCTTAGTGCACAGAATGTATTCGCATATGTTGAATAATATTGAAAAAGCGGCTTCACTTCATGTATCGCTAGTATAAAGCCGAAATATAACTTAAAGCAATAAGCATTCCAAATGAATCAAATAAACGATGAAAACAATTCAATATGAGCTCAAAAAGAATACAATGATAGAAAGTTTTCTAGCCTGTAGCAGAAGCAGAGCAAAGGAGAGAATAAGTTAAATTGATACGTATTCCGTGGCCAAGTTTTATATAGTGCCGTATTTCTCTAACGTCAGAAGGGAGTTTTAGGTTTTAAAATTTTGCTAAGTTTTAAAATATTTCTAGTGCTTTTGATTAGATTTAGGAATACATAGGTGGTTCAACAAATTTAAAACATGAATTATTACAGGTATTTACTGAAATTTAATATAGTTTTCCCCTCGTTACTGCTTCGCTTTTCAACAAAACTGCCATTAATTAGTCACATGTTAGTAAGTTATTTTCAAATGTTAAGCTGATAGTTATTGTTAATGTACACCAATGATTCTGCTATAAATGACACTCACAGCTCATGTTGAGGACGATGGATGTTTGGATGGGCTTGGTGAGGTTGCTGTTGTGTGCCTGACACGTCAGTTTCCTGTCCAGGTGCTGCCGACTGAGGTTCGGTAGCGTTATTTTGTTGACCGTCAAGACACCGTCGGTGATCTCGCTGATGTCATCGAGCAGGAAGCGTTCATGCCACCAAGTGACGCGAGGCAGTGGGTAACCTGTTAATGGATATTGTTTTTGTGCAGCTGAGTTAAGAAAGCAGATGAAAGAAAACTATTGCGTTCGATCTTTATTATCCAATAACGTTATTATTGCGGAAAATGTGCGAATTACATGTTGGTAAGTCAAATGAATAGAATAATAGGCATATCTTCAATGAAAATGTTTTAGAAACCAAGTTCAACGTGGTGAACTTCGGAATATAGGTAGAATCTCAAATATAATATAAATGTACAATCTATACAATCTCTTATAATTCCTTTGAGCTGATAAAGGAGCTGGCTGTAACGTTTTCATTAAAGACATGATTAATGCTCTTTATGTTTTTTTTTTCAATTCCTATTATAGTCGGTACTCGTAAGTGTTCGATTTAATATAGTCGGTACACGTAGGTGTTCGATTTAATATAGTCGGTCCTATAAGGTGTTCCATTAAATTTAGTCAGTACTCGTAAGTGTTCGATTTAATTTAATCGGTACTCGTAAGTGCTCGAGTTTAAAGTGTGAAGAGAGAAAATTATTCTGAAAAAATTCAAGGCTATTTGTTCTTTATCAAATGAAATTATGTCACCTACGACCTTAAATAAGCAATGTGAAGAAATTGTTAAAATTTCCCGTCTATCGCATGCTCCACAAAATGTCGAAACTGCCTGACTGTGACTAACAAAAGTCTTCAATGGCTTCTTTTCTGCTGCAATGAACTCGTTTAGAAATTCACTGCCCCTCGACTGCCGGCACTAAAACCTCGTAAGCCTCGTAGCCGCTGGCTTTTAACTTCCGATGATCGATCGTAGCAGCAGCGGCAGAAATTGCCGGCCTACCCTGAAAATTACGGCTATGCGGTGGCGAGCCATGCACCGCTGTTATAGCACCATTGTAAACTTTTCAGCCTCGCCGCACTATAGTGTATTTCTGGAATAATATTTTCATGCTTCGAATAAAGAAGAATGTTTTAAGGGTGCTGGTGCCTTCCTATTCTTTCACTCCTAAATTTTAAGCGTAGGGGAATAATTATTTGAATTTAGGAAACGAAATTTTTATATGATAGAGCAAGAAATAAATTTGCTTCACTATATTTCATAAATAAATTGGATTTGATAAAGATGAAGTAGACATTGATATAAACTTAGTTCACTAATCTACCAAATCTAAAATGGATAAGAAGAAATTACGACTGTAACAATTTACAGTCGTCGAGTTCACAATTTTTATACTTCAATGCATGATTGAAAATTATTTGAAGAAATCAATGCGCGACGAAACGAAAAAAAAAAACTAAATAATTCACATAGATATAATATTGTTCTTGAGAGAAAGGAAGGAAATAAATTTTGAAAAATTAAGATAGAATTTCTGTAAATTGATTATTTAACGTAGATGCAAAAAACGACAGGAATCCCCTTCTCAGATAAGATTCTTTGCATCTTTCAGTTCATTGCATTGCTGTTTCATTAGAAAATCGCAGCTGATACTTCACAGGCTAAATTTTTAGCGTTGAGGATGCTTGTATTTTCGATGTCTTTCATGTGCCAACGTGTCAAGGTAATGTTTGTTGTTTAGATTGCAAAATTAAGTCCCACGGCCAGTTTTTAATTAGCAGCAGCCGAAAATGGTCGAGTGATAATTGATTAAAATCAAAGCGGGTGGCTTGCAGAAGGCCATGCAAAGGCCGCCAGTAAATTAATCTCAGAATTTTGGTGGGAACGAGTTGAATTCTGCTTCATTACAGCGAAGGCTCATTAATTAAACGAATAAAGAGCGGCTGCAGTGGACGACCTCGGGCCTTCTCTGTAAATTCCATTTGGCTACAATGAGGAGCACGCGACTCCATCTTTGTTCTAGAGTACAATAGGTTTATGTGTGGCTGATGACTGGCCGAAGATACGCCGGAAATAATTCTGGTATAATGAAATGTAAGTTTGCTAGTCTTTAACCGGGTCGGAATGATTAATTGAAGAATGGATGGCATTACTCTGCAAGTTAATTCGAAAGACAACATGTTTGAATTTATCGTTCTACAAATTTGTGACTCAGTCCTTATCTCACTAAATTTTGTTTCTTCAATGGAAAACACGAGCATGTTCAAATAATTCTTCGCTGCCAATGACAGTCTTAAAAATATCTTCAGTATTTTTTAGAAATATCGTATAATTAAGCTGAAAGAATCTGCCATAAAATGTTTATTGTGATGAAATGAGATGACAAATTTTCGCATTTGTAGGAAGGAACAGAATCTTCGCTGCCACACATAATGTAAAAAAAAAACACGCATTCTTTTCGCTCATATTAAAACAACTAGTAATCGAAGTATCATTCATTTCCAAGTGATATTAAATGGCAAACGCTAAGCAACCTAGCTCATATGACATCCAGCACGTTATAATTAATGTTTATCAAGACTCACAAACAAGGGAGTTTTTCACTAATATCAAACGTTAAACGCAAATTTACAGTCATGCTTTGAACCAAATCGTCGTCGTGCGACGCACAAGTTAGGAGCACGCATTGTAAAAATGAGCGTCATTTGTGTGTGTCGCGCTATAGCGAATGACGCATCTCTGAAGACCACAGTTACTTAGCGTTCGGCAAGCATGCATTGCCATGAATAATTCAGTACGTGAGCTAGCCGATGGCGAATGAACCGACGATGGTCGTATATTCAATACGTACATAGAGAGAGCGGCAATAATCTAGATAATAATCAAGTATCAACAATAATCTAGATAACCAGTTGCGGCTTCGTAAATTTAATAGGCATTTTTCTGCAGCATGAGTTGAATGCGACTGCATCGAAGTCGGTTCAGGATAATTTCTGCCTCGTTACGAATTTTATTTCTTGAAGGGCATTGTGAAAAGAAGGGTCGCAGTTGGAGATTATTGATGGGTGTCCTGTTCGACATAAATGAAGCACTAATGTCATGGGAAGTACGGCGCGCATTGCAAGAGCACAATAACGACCCGCTTAGAACTCATCGTAAATGTAAACTACGTTGTTAGTGTCTCGCTTTCGTCTGTATAACATAACAGCCTAATGGCTATAAAGCTATACCGGTGGTGACATGGATTTTTTGTTGCAGGTCTGTGATGTTTTATAGCGAAGCTTTATTCAATCGTATTCTTCGTTACAACATATTTATTCCTGGGAAGAGATATGATTAGTCGAGATGTAGCAGTTATAATATCAGATTTCTCTAAATTACTTAAAGTTCGAGCTCACCGCCTCTAACTTTGCAGCCCAGGGTGATGGTATCGCCAAGGGCGTACGGCCCGATGACTCCGCTCAGAATTTTTCCGGTCTCGTCTTCTATAATTGGATTCGACGGCGCCACTGGAAAATTTTGAAACATATATTATCATTTTTGACATTATTTTATTATCCCATACACCCTTTTTTAAGCGCAATAAAAACATAGAAAAAACGAAAATGTTTTTTTAATGAAACTTAGAAAAACTAGAAAACCGCGCTCAGGATGACGTGATTACCCTATGCCCCATTCTAATCAACTGTCACTCCCGGCAGACAATTCCTAGATTATCGCATGTTCATGAATACATGATTTGTTCGTATCTCATTCAATTGAACTGTCACAGCCGACATACAAGTCCCTCACTATGGATTTATTTAGTGTTTTTAAAGCTGTACCTCTGTCCCCTTGACTCACCCACGAGGTGCAGTCTAACCCTGGAGTTCCTTGTAGGCGAATTATGGAACTCAACCCGACAGTGATAGTCGCTCTTGTCGGCCGCTTGCACGGAGGAAATCTCGAGCCCGCCACCTTCGGTCATCAGGAAACGGCCTCTGTTCGCAATGGCTTCAGGAGACGACCATTGTACGGCCGTGCCAAACCGTCCGCTGTCTCTGGCGTCGACGCTGGTGGAAGAAACGACAACTCCGTTGAAAACTTCTGTACCAAAGTATTTGGATCGTACAAAAGAATTTAGCGGATTAATGAAAAGGTTTTTAAGAAATTCTTTGGTTAGATTATTGACGAATTGTGTCTCCGATGTTACGTAGAGATAAAATGACGGAAATTAAATTCAAACGAACATTTTTGTTGGATTTTGTGTGCCATGTATTGAAGTCTACCATACACTCATACGCAAACCGGCAGAAGTATAGAGATTGGGACTTGTGTCAAGTTATTTATTTCTGTTATGAGGTTCCCAAGGCAACGGCATTAAGCTTCTAGCATAAATTTCATTGGTGATTTTGATTTTTTTCTTTGAATAGTGCACTTTTTTTGATTTCGGAGATAATCTGCAGTGAGGCGCTACGCTGCACTTAATCTAAATCTAATTAATTAATTTAGAGAACATGGCGACACAAATTTAAAGTGTGAAAAATATAATTAAAATATTTCGAAGGAAAGATATTCGACTGTGGAATTATTTCACGATCGTTGTAAACCGTGGAAAAAATAAAACTTATTAAAATAGCTGTAACGTTTGCAAGGATTTGATTTTCTGTCTCTTTATTACATTCACTGAACTTTCGCCCGCTCGATCACGACTGAAAATCTCAGAGGATCACCGGGAAATCTAGTGTCCGTCAATAGGCCTTCTGTTGTCAGGGTAGTTGTCAGGCCTTAGGTGACACAGCTAAATGGTGACTTGAGCTGAAAATAGTCAATATTTCACTCAGTGGAAGTTGCTTCGAGAAAAACTGATTTACAGGAAAAATATCAAGTCAGTAAAGATTTATTTCCAACTTCGTGAGGCCTTTGAGGAGGAAAGGTCTTTTCTTGAAAGGTCAATCATCAAAGCAAGACAAATTGTGAGCAATTTGAGGAAAACCGCTCAGTGCTAAATGCGCTAGTGCATTAGGGAGAAAGTAGAATTGGTAATTTTATTAGTCATTTGGGTAGATCTTAAACTAATTGTTATGGCAATTCAGACTTCTAGATCCATCCGTGCTGGCGTGCAATCATAATTCTGTGTGGATCAATCATTCAATGCGAGAATTTGTCTTCCTCAAGAGCTGTTCTTATAATTTAGTAATCCTTATAAAAGTTAGGAAGCATGAGATTTCTCCCTAAACTAGATAGGTATTGCTCGAAAATAATTTCCAGGTAAGAAAACCCACTCGTGTATGATCTTTTTCCTTATATTGCTCCAAAATGTGCGTCATCAATTAAGCCTTGCTTTCACTGAACTAATTGACTTTCGAAATGTTATCAACTTGAAATCGACTAACGGACTCAAAAGCGGACGGTTGGAAATTGTTAATGGATACAATTGCGAGAATCTTTTATACGCTTTCAGCCTGGCAGCCATAAGTGTGGGGACGTGATTAGAGTTCGATTGTGTGCTTTTAGTTCGAAGATTAAGACCGATGCTGGTGAGTGGCCTAGAATGTGATTCACGATTAGCTGTTGTAAAAGGTAATTTTTTGGCTTAAAATTTAATGTTCATTTCAACAGTGATACTGATGTTGTATTACTACGCTGGATATTTTACATTACTGTGTATTTTATACTAAAACGATGTACAACTGTAGAGATTTTTATATGAGGTCTTGATATTAATTTTCATTTATACATTTTGCAGCCAACAATAAATTTTGCAGTTCAACTAGTTTGCAGCCGCCGCTAGCACAAAACTTATATAAGAATACATATATGGAGTTTTATGGAACTCTCTATATTTCATGATATCACAGTGTTTGTGCATAAAAGACGCTGTTAAGCATAACTTTGAGTTACGTCCATCGATTTCGGTAAAGTTTACAGTGACTGCGAAAGCCTGGCAGGTTTTAGAGGCGACATCGCAGCGTTGGTGTGTGCTGCGAGCGACGCTGTTGAAAGGACACTCTGCTTTTATGTCGCGATGACGTGTTTTATAGTCACGCTTTCACTGAACACTCTGCGTGATAGTGGGCAACAGGCCGTTAAGCTCAAGACCTGGGATGGGTTCAAAATTAAACCTGGAGCACAGAGTGGGGCTTCAGCATAGAATGTGAGTGGAAACATGGTTTTAGCACGATGAGTTTAAAATGTGGTACGTATACAGTGTTGAAATAAAAAATGTGTTCCTGAGAAAGTACGCAATTAAGAAGAAAATTAGGCTTCAGTAAACACAGAGAACGTTTATTTGAATTAAAGAGAACATATCACGTTCGAAATGCATGGAACAATGTTGGCACTTCAAAAACAGAATTTTTAAATAATTCTCTCAAAACTGAAATCATGAATGAGACACACGGACACACGGCATAGACTGATTTTTGTTAAACGTTAATCTGAAAAATTTTAATTCACTAAAATAGTCGGGAAATCAAATCCTCATGAAAGCAAAAAAGTAATCAACTTCACTTTGAAAATACTGTAAACTTCACTTGAAGATAATCAAGTGTGCCTATCTTCGTTGCTGTATTTTCAAGAGAAACAAATTCAATGCCTGGGGTTACTCAATGAAGCCCGTAAATTTTCCTGCCAGCAACGATCCTGGGCGACACAAGAAAGAAAGCAATCAGAGATACGCGATGCCTTGCGTCGCGCGTATCCGCCTCTTCTTGTTTGCTCAAAAAATAGATCCAAATCAACGGCCGCAGTGCAGACCGTCCGAGGCTGATGGCTTGTCATCGTCAGGCGTGTTTGCACAGAAAACTCTGCGTGTATTTCTTAGACTGGGAAAAACTGGCGTGTGATTATATAGGGTTATGGATTTGTGTGCGGGGAAAATATATGATTATAACCGTTTAATAAGAATACTTTGTATTAACACCTATTCAGTTATATCAGTTAAATAGCCATTGGTCAGCTATTAAAAGCCATTAAACAGTTGTTTAATTCCATGCAGTTACCAATAAAATATTGCTTAATTTTCATACGGATGCAACAACGGAATATTGTGTTTGTCGATCGCTGATCAACGATATTTGTGTCTAAGAGCCAACTAAATAGAATTAATTTTGTGTTTCACATGACGAATGAAAATTAGATTGAATGAATACGTATAGAAGTGAAATAACCAAAACTAATATGAACGAGTGCATTTAATGCAAGATCATTTAAGCTCTTTAGCTGTTGAAAATAGCCTTAGATAAGCGTATGAAACGTTATAATGGATAAAAAAAACAATGTCCTATGCTGTGGAGCTAAATAATTAATACCAATTTCAATAAATGTATGATTGGACTTTAGCACAATTATACGATTGGATTGCTGCCAAGAAATGTAAATATAAATTTATGTTTCCATAAGATAATGTTTATCATATATAATATTATAATCATTATTAACTCTTTGTTTATGTATGTTGATAATAGATTATAAATTCATGTTTAAACAATAGCACCATTATACGATTGGATTGCTGCCAAGAAATGTAAAAATAAATTTATGTTTCTTTAACATAAAGTTTACAATATATAATATTATAAATATTATTGACTCTTTGTTTATGCATGTTATAATAGATTATAAATTCACGTTTAAACAATAGCACCATTATACGAATGGAATACTCCAAAGAAATGTAAATATCAGGTAATTCTCTGTGACCTGTAGACCGGCGTGTCGCCCTTGCTGATGAGCACGAGTAGAGGAGCGTCTCCGGGCTGTGGGGCTGTCACGTCACAGGGCAGCACCACACTGCCCCCCACCACCGCCCATCTCTCACTGAGCGGACCTGGTCCAGAACTTGAGTTATATTGCTCATTTATTGTTATTATTGTTCTTGCTTTAGTGCGGGTCAATATCCTGCTGCTGTGTGTTGCTCTGATGCGTGATTTTGGGGTTTTCATACCAAATTATTTTTCATGAAATTTTCATGTATCTTTCGTGTATTTCGGTAATCTTTTTTTAGAATATTATAAACTTTCACTCATAAAAGATTTTCAACTTGGAATGTTTCACGGTGTTTCATTGTTATATTCCAAGGTAGTTAGCAAGAATACAAGCTGAATAGTGAAAAATTATTAGAACATAGGGAAGAAAAATGGATCGCATTTATGAACAAAGGCGGTTTAATCTCCGGGCACAGACTACGGTACTCAATACAAATCTTTGGAATTTAAATTGAAGTTACATCTTTGACGAGGGACTGTCTTGAGACTCGAAGAAACGAGCCTGCAATCTCTTGACCGAAAGCCTAACGAGCGATCGACGATTTAATTGAGATTCCAGTTCTGGTTTGCCGCATTAGGAACTCATTTAATTTTGGTGTTCTTGAGTGCGAAGTTAAGTGGCCTGCGGCTTCCCGAATTCCCGAGGCACGCAATCACTTGCCCCGAAGTCCCCACTTCAACAAATTTTCCTAATGAGAGACTTTCTCCGATAAAACCTTCACTCGATTTTTCCTAATGGGAATTTAATGAACTACGAACTGTTCCGTAATGAATTGACGTTAACAAAAATTGAAAGGGAGTGACGAGAATTGGCTTCATGAGGGACAAATATTGGTTCCTATTTTGCTACCGAAAGATCTTAACTGTTGTCAAGTGCATTGGAATAGGAAATGATTCCGGATGAATATGATTGTAAATAACCTTCAAAAATCGCAGACACTGGGTTTATTGAAACTCTTGAAATCCTGAAACCTAAAAATTTATAATCTAGACACGCGTCATGATTTTAATTTTGCCTCAAGATGCTCCTAAGCACATAATGCTAATTTAAATCGCGTGCGAAGCTTCACTTCGTTAGAGCGAAGTCATAGAACTACGAAAAGAATATTGTTCGAAGTTTGCTATGTATTTCATAGCAGGACCCTAAACTCAATTAAAATTGTTCCCAGAGCCACCCACGTCCTTTGATAAACTCGCAACTTCTGTTCAGGTGATCAGATTTTTCCATGGTCACCCATTGCTCAGTTGCAGGATGCGGTGAGTTGACCAGCTGGATTCCTAATTTGATTCCAACTCCATTACCGCTCGCCAGGATTTAGTTCCAGTCGCGCACGCCAATTCCAGGCAAGGCGAGCACGTGCTGGGAATGCTGGCTGGACATTTCCGAAAATTTCTCTTGCTCCAATTTCGATGACAGGCTACAAATAATTAATGAGTATTGATTGCTTTGAATAAACGATTCTTTTGGAGTTCATTTTCTTACAACTCTGAGCTTGTCCTGCAGCAGACATTCTGCCTACGCGCTGGAACAATTATTATTAATTTTGTCTATCAATGTCCCTGTACCTAATTATAGTGACATTCATTCAGGCTTGATTTCCACTTATTTTAAATTGAAGAAAAGCCAAACAAAAGCTACGAAGCAAAAAGCAGTGTTTAATAATTAAATTCGCTTGATTTTCATAAATTAAAGCTGTACAGGCTTGATTTCAACTTACTTCCAATTGACGAAAAGTCAGACAAAAGCCATGCTGTAAAAAGAATTGTTCATCAATAAAATTGACTTGATTTTCATAAATTGAAGCCGTAAAGTTAACAGAATAAATTATGTCGTATAGCGTCGCGATAGAACGCGATAGATTCAGGAGAGGTTTTCAATAGATTCATCAGTAAAGCACAGAAATGTAATAGAAATTTCTACTCTCTTCCCGTCCAGTTTCCATAATGTCTTCCTCGTCACGTGTTTCACAAGATAGCTGTTCATCAATCATTCAGAACGGCGAGATTTCTCATTCGAGATTTCCTGCATGAGAAGTATATGCATGTTAAACTCCTGTGAATAAGTTTTTTTAATATTGAGCGAAGTTGAATAGTGATAATTTTTTATCCGTATTAATACTATGTCATGGTTACGATGGCAACATAGTTTCTGGAGAAATTATTGAACTAGTCTCTGCCATAATGGAATTAAGATTTGAAAATATATCAGCCTCCTAACATAGAGGGTTTTAACAAGTTCTACTTACTAATCGCAAAGCAAAATCAATCTACTCGTACTCGTACTTTTTTTCCTGGGACTGCCTCACATATATATTATATTTGTTCAGAGACGTACTTTAATGATCACCGAAATAAAGAAGCTGCTATCTAAATACTTGTGTACAAGTAAAAAGTAACTTCGCCCCCTCGCTCGCGCGTAAAAGTTTAGCTCTTTGTTAGCGTTTAGCAGAGGGAAGCTGCGAGCTGCATTTAAAGTCCTGCTGCTGAAGGAAATGGTTACTCGACACCACTATAACAGCGAGGAATTTTGCTGAGAAATGTAAGCAATATCTCCTACCAGCAGGCACTTCCCTTGTGGCCGCATTCCGCGCAAAATTATCCAACATCGCATCGCAAGACTTTCCCAATATATCCATGAATATTAATTCTTCAGTTTGCGTGAGAATAATATTAAATATTTATTGAAGCAAAGCCCCAAACAGTGAGAACAATATTAAATATTTATTAAAGCAAAACCTCGAACAAAACAGTCAATATTTCTACGCTTCATAAAATTTAGCAGATGTTGTGTGTTAGTTTTTAGGTCTTTCTGATTTTTATAGATTTATATTGCAAGCTTTTGGATTGAGAGCCAGAAATATAAATGAGCCTGCCGCTGACACATCTAATTTTAAGCGAAGGTTTTCAACTCGCGGAAATAGATGCCCACAAATGGACGAGTTGACAGCAGGAGATATTTCCAATAAGCGTGCCAATAAAATGATAAAGAAAAATATTTATTTTTGGCGCTCCATAATTCGGTAGACGCTGATTGATTTCATTAATAAAAGTTCGAAACAAAGCACGCTCAGTTACAATGGGAAATTGTACTAATTTTATTACTTAGCTTATTTCTATAATAAAATTTATAAAGACTCGCTTTTTTATTTAATATTTTGGCTCTTCATTTTTTATTGAACGTTAGTGAAACTTTAGGTCGCGAGCTTCATTCAACATCTGAAAGGTAATATTAAAACACTTTCAAAATTTATATTGTAAATTTTCAGCTTCAAAGAATGAAAGGGATTCTTTTAGATCTGAATAAATATTAAGTTTTAATTCCAACCTTGATCAAAATTGCAAGATTCTGCGATAATTTAGGCGAGCTTAAAAAATCCGATTTCGAGACGACCTTCAGGTCTCTTCTTTCTGCATCGATGAAGTCATTCTTCTCGAGTCTCTTCTTCGTCATTCAAGCTAAAGAAATAACAGAAAAAGACTGAACCACTCACCTTCACACTTCAAAGAAGAACAAGATAAAGGTGCAGCGATGAAGACGCTATGCAAATGAGAAGGTATGCAAATTAGTCGCATAAAATAGAAGTCTTTGCTCTATGGCCAACAAATTGGCTCGGCTTCAGCGAAAACTACGAGAGATGAGCAGCTGGCAGCGGCTCTAAGGACCGTCTTGAGGCTGCAATGATGAAACCATTGCTATTCATCCAGGCTTTGCAGCCGCCGGGGAACACGTTTGCTTTTTGTAGGCTCTCCGGAATTAATTTCTTCCTTCCATTGTTTATAGAAAGCCATAACGACGAAAAGCTTGAAATATTAATGGTTTTCTTTGTTTTCAGTAGATGAAGCAATACAATGAGATGGCAGTTAATTTAACCCTCAGTAATCATGGAATTCACGTAACGTATATTTATACTTGAGAAGTTTTTAAGGATAAATTATGAATTAATAAGCTTTGTTCGTGCAAGAAGGATGAGCAAGTGACAGTTGGAGGTAGTATATAGACAATATAAATAAGCTTTAATTTATTTATGCAATTTAAAGTAAATTGAGATCCTTCTACACGTAAAAACATATAATTTGATTATAAACAAATAACGAACTAGCATTGAGGATAGCCAGTCATTGCTTAACTCAAATGCAAACTGATGAACAGATTGATTTAAGCTCAGGATGCGGTACATACCTTCAGGTCCTCAACAGTGGCAAGGGAAAAAAAACATTGTAGTTACATCAGCATGAAATATTGTATTAATCATGTATGAATATTGAGGTAAAAAAGATAGTGGTCATCAACCCAAACCTTATATATTGATAACATAGCCATTTCAAAATTGAATTCATTTCATTGGAACGTAACAATAAACCTATATATTGCAATTAATAAACCTCCCTGAACTCAGTGTTCATCAGAACAAATGTAATTCTTGATCACCAGTAAATTAAATCCGAACTAGTGTTAAATCACACAAATTATTAGAACAGCCGTTCTAAATATACGAGAATAAGGAATATGCACCCGTTGACCGAAAATAAGAAAATTAAAATGCGCAATTTAATAAAACACACAGTCAAGTTTATGGTTTTGATTTTCGAAACCTGTCCCATGTTTGAACGGGGACTTAAGCGTTACGTGTTTTGACAAGGAGGCGATTAATTGCTTGAAAATCTTTTTTGCCACACAACACAAAATCTAAATGTACACAAACATATAAATATGAAACCCCGGCAATAATGCGAATTCTGTCACACTATAATTCTTGGCAAATTAATGTACTGCTCGACATGAAGGTTGATGGATAGATGTCAAATAAGTTACTGTAATTAAATTGAACAATGATTCATCGCTTCAGAGCTGTAGCCTATTTCTGAATGATTGACAGCACGCAAATGACAATGACAATTACAAGAATTAATTATGACAGATGACTTCCACTGAGAACTAGTAAACCGATATCTGGAACCTTGCTATAACCGTCAATGATTGCTCATGTATTCTTGTGCATATCGATCAAGAAGTGATGAATGATTGCATTATCATTCACAAATCATTCCTTGCACAATCAGTCCTTCCACATTCCATCATTCACAAGTCATTCATAGAGCACAAGTTATTCCTTGCTACATTGTTACAAAGCTGCAGTGTAACAGTGCGTGATGCATGTTATGTCGTTGGTATAATGAGAAGTACCAATAATATATTGGAAATATCGCATCATAATAAGGTCAAGAAATTGATTTATGTGTGTGCACATCTCTTCTTAATTGTGCAAGGGATGGTGAATGTAATTATGGTAATGAATGTAAAATGAGTGTAATTTTTTAGGAATATTTGTACAGTGCGTGATGAAATAACAACCGTTAATGTTTCAGTCTAATTTAAGCGCTAAACACGCACTGTTTCTCCTGGGTTACTTCTATAAAAAATTTGAAGACCATCAGAGACGAGAACGTCAGTATAAACTTCTTCATTGACTTATTTTGTTTGGAATAGAGTCATGAAGTTCAATAAGCACGGGATTGGGATTATATGGTATATAAATATGTTATATGTTATAAGCTGGACGCGCCTGACATTTGGAGGAAAGGTCTTCAGGCCGACGACGACCTGGTCTAGCTACCCAACCAGGTTATGCACCGCCCACGTTCAAGACTAACTTTCGTGCATTTGAAATATGTTGAGGGCATGTTTGTCGCATGTTGAGCGCTGAAATTTTTGTTGGTCTTATAAGTCCACCTCGCGCGTTCGACGCTGTCTCACGAAGTTGAATATATTTTTTTTACATATATATTTCTGTGTTTTATTATGAATGTAAATAGAAAAGAGCTCGCAAGCACCGTCCGGGAGGACTAAGTGACTGTGCGTGTTGTGTTATTGGAGCTCCGATGGCTCAATTGTGTGCGATAAAATCTTTGATGTAACGCGTTGTAGCTTGCCTGTCTTGTAATATCCCTTCTGAGCGATATAATGCTTTCACAAAGCTGACTTGTGCTTATATTGCTCCTTCAAACACCTATTAGTGAGCAATGCAAGGCTTGAATAAAATTACGCGAGACTCAACAGTTATTTTAAATAATTATGTATAAGAAATAATGCGATAAAAATTTTAGTTCACAATTCTTACATTTGTTTTTTGCGTCAATTATTAACAAACAAATTCATTAGTTTGCATATTACCCTCAAAAAGGTATCCTCAGTTTTATTTATGTTCTTTCAGACACATACGAATTTCAGTAGAATAATTGGAAGGATAAAGGTGTCGGCAGCATTTTGCGCGTCCTTTTTGCCTATTATTGACCGCACTTTGCTCTGCTACTGAACAAACAGCGAGGCTCACTTTGGTATTGTTGCCGGGAGGCATCTACCCTTGTTACCCTTGTATCACTCAATTAATCTGTGTTTTAATTCACTATTTTTCAATAATTTTTGTTCAATCGGATTATTTTCGTTTTCATTTCGGTTCAGAGTATTTTTTCAAACTAATGACAGTTTCATTCAGATAATTTCCGTCGTTTATCGTCTCGCAGCCACTGACATTCCGAGTGCAGGCAGGCCTGGAATTGTAAATCATGTATCGCTCATACACTGTGCCATAACTTTATGCTATAACATAAAGTTATGGCCCAGCATTCCCAACCCATATTACTACTGACTGCACTGCAGTCTGAAGACACTGTCTAATGCCAATTGTTTTCCCCAATTGTTTAATGTACATTTACCTGAATATTATCTTACTAGAAAACACTTTCATTTCAGTAACATTAATAGCTTCCACTGTTTAATTAAGTCTCTGAAGTGGGCAACGTGCTTGTCCTATCGGCAAGCACGGTAACAGTGTGCTAATTATAACTATGCTTCTTATACACAATAGTTTCTATTTTCCACAGCAATGGTATAGATTGATACAGAATAATATACGTTTAAAAATTACTTTTTAAAGACAACACTTTTAAAGAATCCAGTGTCTCCAATGTTAAAGATGTACAATGAATTTCTTATTTTATTTTCGTATATTAAAAAATTAATTTTTCAATTTTTAATATATAACTTTTTTTTCAAAATTATTTATTCTGTCAATTGATGCATGCATTGCCTCCGACTTCAAACAAGTGTGCAAAATTTCAAATCAATTGGATAGGTAGAAGTGTGTCAAATATCAGTTATAAAATTTGTAGCTGACAAAATTATTTTTTCAATTTTTTAATATTGAAATTTTTGTTTTATTTACAAAATCATTTATTTTGTCATTTGATTCATGCATTGTCTCCAACTTTACGCAAGTGTGTAAAATTTCAGATCGATAGGATAAATAGAAGTGTATTAAATTTTGACTACAAGATTTGTAGCAGACAGACAAACAGACAAACAAGAAGTGAAGTTAAAGAGTAGTGTTGTAAAATTGAAACAAACCTTAAAATGAATTAAAACGAGTTTGCGACAAATCAGGATCAGTTTGTATGCATTTTCATCGTTATAAAGTTATAAAGTTATTATAACATAAAGTACATAAAGTAATTCTTAGTTCACTTCGGAATAACAATAGTGAATGCTTTTTACAACACTTCTCTTTAACTTCACTTCTTGTTTGTCTGTCTGTCTGCTACAAATCTTGTAATCGAAATTTAATACACTTCTACTTATCCTATCGATCCGAAATTTTGCACACTTGTGTAAAGTTGGAGACAATGCATGAATCAAATGTCAAAATAAAAGATTTTAAAAATTAAAAAAAAATTTTGTCAGCTACAAATCTTATAACTGATATCTGACACACTTTTACCTCTCTGATTGATCTGAAATTTTGCACACTTGTGTGAAGTCAGAGGCAATGCATGAATCAATTAATAGAATAAATAATTTTGAAAAAATTATATATTAAGAAATTTATATATTAAAAAAATTGAAAAACTAATTTTTTAATTTGAAAATTAAATGAGAAATTCATTGTACATTTGTACGATTGGAGACACTGGATTCTTTGGAAGTGTTGTCTTTAAAAAGTAATTTTTAAACGCATATTATTTAGATCTTTTCTCCTGACGGTCGAAACCAGAATTCGATAAGTGAGAACAGGATAAAAATCATCCGCTCCTTATCCGAGTAAAAATTTATAATTTTTATCAAATGACATCCATGAATATATGAATTACAACAATTTAACCTTGAAATGCCTCATTTCCCACATATAATCTTTCTCTCGGTAAAAATGTTTTCATCTTGGAAGCTTCCATGTGCCGTATTTTCTATCGAGTCAGGAAATAATTCTTTAATGTGTAGCCTAATTACAAAGAATGTTCACCTCCTGAACCAAAGCCTGGTTCAGCTTAATGAGATACCTCCAGCAAGCTACTTAAATCACTACCAGCGCCCGACAAGCTCTATGAGTGTCCAGTTTTCCAGCAACATTCTCGAACATTCTGCCTGCCTGCTCAGGGTAACATTTTTACGATGAACGCCTAATTCTTTTAGGAGTTTAGTTCAAGCCAGCAACGTTATTCAGTCTTAATTATTTTGCGAAGTCAACAAATCTCTGCCCCTGGCCAAATTCAACATTAGACTCATTATTTAAAACGTATTCAAAAGCAGACTCATTATTTAAACGAATTTCCATAACATTTCCAACTGTGTTGCTCTTAATTAGCATGATTAGGATACGGAATAAAACAATAAACTCGTTGCGCCAGCAGAATGTCATGATGACCTTCAACTGTCAAAATTTTTATGAGAGTTATTATTGGGTTCTTCTTTGCTGCAATTTATTAATTATACGCGTGCACAGTAATGAAAAAAATTGTGTTAAAAATTATATATGAATTTTAGTTGACTAATTGCTCGTAATTTGCATTGAATTTCCAGCTTTAGATGCCTCTTTCATTGTTACTTAATCGGGTTTAGCGATGAGCTATTGTTATAACCAAGACTGTCTTTTATGCGCGCCATTATTTACTTGCCCACTGGCTGGCAATTACCGGATTAAATTAATCTTAGCCTTCATTTACCGAGCAAATAATCATTTGTTTACACGCAGTCAAGTTACGGCCTCAGTGCCGGCATTTCTTCTTCTTGTGAAAGAAAGCAATTAACTGCATCGTGGAAGGATGGAGGTATGCATATATTTTCCAGCCGATCAAATCCCTTCCATAAGTCGCCTCGAGTGCTGGCATTGAGTGGCAGTGGAAGTCTCAGCGGTTTTA